CCCCAAAACCCCAAAACCCCAAAACCCCATCTATATAAATTTTATAGACATCGAAATATGAATATAATGTTAAGAAATTGATCATCATTATCACAAATATTTATTTGGTTTTCCCTCGTTACCACGACCAGTGTGTCCTTTGTTTTGCTCGAATTGGTAGTGAAGTTCTGAAACATCGATGGCATCGTGGATGAGATTCCATTTTCCATGATTGGTGACATGATATATTCTGACTACACCTCCTGAGGCTGAATCTTTGAAGGTTGCAGAGGTGATTGCGCGAATACCGAGATTGACTGCCTCATCAAGAGACATATCATATCTGTAGTTTGTATCTAAGACACCATAAGCGAAGGTTCCTCCTGAACCTACAGCAAACAATCTACCCTTAACTCTTGTGGCATCGTTATCAATATAGTAAAGACTAGCTCCAGTCTTATCAGATCCAGTGAACATTGTTCCCATTGATAGGCCTTGACCTCTATATTGTCTCATAATACTTGCAAGCATCATGGAGGCCATAGCAACGCTTGGCTTTTCTCCATTTCTCAATTCATATACTCTGCATTGCATTGCAACGTATTTTTCCCAGAACATACAATCAGCAGCACCACCTGCCATAGTACCCAAAAGGAAATCATTGATCTCAATAACCTTTCTGACATTATTAGATGAGATGAAGGCTCCCATGGTGGCTCTGGCATCAACTGCTACCAAAACTCCCTCCTAGAATTCAAAAGCTAGAGTAGTTGTACCCTTGGCAAAGTCAGTTAATTTAGGTGCCTTCTCTTTTAATGATCTCATGAATCCGATTTACTATTAATAGGGCGTTAGAATATTTGTCATTGAATATTATTTAGACCAAATTTAGATAATATCAAAACTTGGTTAATCTTTTTGAATATACTTACATCTTGACCTGGGGCTAGTTTAAAACAGAAACCTTCAGATACGTACTCTCCAGTAGTTCCAACTTGCTCATTAAGTTCGTGCTCAATATCAGTTTGCTCTTTTTGAGAGAAATTAGTGTGAGGGGAAATTGAGAGTACTGGTGCACTAGAGAATGATTTAGCGAGACCGAAGTTCTCATTATCCATAAAAGCGAAGTCCATTATTTTAAAGTTTACCAAATTTTTATAATTTAAATCTTTGATCTCAAATTATCGGCTTGCTGGGGTTTTGGGGTTTTGGGGTTTTGGGGTTTTGGGG